TTGATTCAAACTTTCATATGGGCAGAAACAATGATGGGTTTTTTTTTTTTTTTTTTTTGTAAAAAAAATGCTTGCTGGCATAATTGGGAGGCATGTGCTTAATCACAACAAACCTCTTTTAATCAATTAAACATCGCAGCACTACTTAGGTGCAGCTCCTAGCGCACTCTGACACTGAATAAATGTGGCTGTGCCCTGGGGCCTGATGGAGGTGACTAATTTAAGTTAGTTTCGGTGCATCTTAAGACAACGAAATCCTTTCATTTGAAGCCCCTCAACAGTCTGCTACCAATATCCTGTCATTCTTGAGCATCATCTGAAAGCAGAAAGGAGCAGGCCTGATTCACAGGGGGAAGAAGTTGGCATTCACTACTTTAAAGCAGGGATGTGGAATGATGGCCCTTTTATGACCCGTGGACTTCAGTTCCCAGAATTCCTGAGCCAGCCATGCTGGCTCAGGAATTCTGGGAGTTGAAGTCCGCAAGGCAAAAAAGCACCACGATTCCCCACCCCAGTTTAAACTAACAATGAACTTGGGGCATAGGACATTCTTATAGCCAAGGGGTTGTGGCCATGTGTAGCCTTTTCCCCTTGGATGACCTTGCTTGATGGAAGGGATCCCAACACGATACATGTGACCTCATGTTGAAGACAGAATATTTCCCAGAACTTCCTAAAATTCCTTAAGCAGAATTGTTGTCTGATTCTTAAACCAAACCAGTCTGTAACGCATGCCGTCATACGAGATTGTGCCAAGTGTTATTATGTAGAATATTTGCAAGATTAATACAGGCTCTGGTTTGTGGTCCACTGTTTTATGTTCCTTCGGTTTTATTTTGCATCATGGACCAACCGTTGCCTTTTATTTTTGTGTTTATGCAGCAGGCTGTTTTGCTAGATCACTTTCTTCTTTCACTTAACGCCCCATTGGGGCAGCTGCCCGGCCTCCTTGGTGTGTAAGGTTAAGCTACCATCGTGATTTTCTTTCCAACGGAAAGAGAAGTGTGTGTCCACGTGGCCAGCAACCATTCAGAGCAGAGCAAAATGCAGCCTTTGATGATTCATTAAGAGATTAACTGAACTCCCAAAGGTTTCATAGCTAATCTCATTTTAATATGTCCTTTTTGTAATGTTTTTTGGTGCACCGAGTCAGATATATTTGATGCTTCTGGGTTGCTTTCAAATGTGAGCATTTTTTAAGTGGCGCTTTTGGTTTTGTTTTGTTTTTAAAAGATGGGAGACTTTAGACAGCTTCATGCAACATGATGTTCAGGAATTATGCCGAGTGGTACGTATTGTTTCTCTTCTATTTTCACTCAGCAGTATTCAAATTGAGAGTCCTGTCCTTCATTCAGCCTCTGCATAAGGAATAATCACATTAAGTCTCTGCTTTTATTAATTTAGACAATTCCAGTTCCGCTGGATGGATGGATTTTAAATTTTGTCTTGACCCTGTCCATTTTCTTACCCTGGCTTCACCTTCTTTTTAAGGTGCAGACTCCAGCATGTCACTCAAAAGCAAAAGTGGTCCTACCACCTGAAAAACAGGCCTTTTGCTGGTTTGTAGAGTTTGATGGGCCTAAGGCAGTCACCCCAGGGCTGAGCTCAGATTTTTACAATCCCAGCAGATGATAGCATTTCCGCTGATCCCAAGAAGCTTAAGTTAATATTTTGGATGAGAGACCTCTGAGAAATACAAGTTAGACCGGGAAGATACAAGTTAGACCCCCCCTCCCTTCCCTGAAATAAAAAACACTGGCAAACATTTCCATATTGTTACCAAGGGAACTATATGGAAATAGTTATGAGGTCACTTGGAGTGCAGTTTGGCTGAAAGGAAGCTTTTCTTCGACCAACTGGGAAACCTATTTGATAAGGGAAAGATCTGAAGGAACGTGTAAATTTGTTTTCTTGTCGGTAATTTAATTTTGTTGTAGCATGTGCAATGACAATAAAGTAAACTAAAGTTAAACTAATCGACGTCTATGCCTTTCTTAAATGGAGAAGTTGCCTTTTTGAGGTCTTCAGAACCTGCAATCGGACTTTTAAGACGAAAACCAAATAATTACCTGGCTGGGCTTGCGTGAGAGATAGCCGAGCCCCCCGAGCCTCCCTTGCTCCCTCTTGGGTTGTCCGACACATAAAATTCTAATGGCTGCTCATTATTAATTCAAGCGTTCTGTTTTTTTCTTCAGTTGCTTGATAATGTTGAAAACAAAATGAAAGGCACCTGCGTCGAAGGGACCATCCCTAAATTGTTCAGAGGGAAGATGGTGGTATGTATTAGACTTGGGGAGGGGTGGGAAACAAATTGTTCACCTGTCTCGATATCCCACTGCCTCATTTTTATTTGCAGTCCTATATCCAGTGCAAACACGTAGACTATCGATCTGAACGAATAGAGGATTATTATGATATTCAACTTAGTATAAAAGGAAAGAAAAATAGTAAGTATGTGTGTTCTCTTAAGTAAGAAATCATGTGCCTCAGATAAGCCCTTCTTTATCAAGAGAAGAGAATAACTGTAGAGTCCTTTACTGTTCTCTGAGCTTGGTTGTTTGCTTGGAGACATTTCATTACCCCATTAAGTAACATCATCAGTGATGATGATGATGATGATAATGATGGGGTCAGGGTTAAGCTCTGGGCAGAAGTGTAGTGTCCTTAATGCTCTCTTGAGCTTGGTGGTTTCCTTGCAGATGTTTCATTACCCAGCTAGGTGACATCATGAGTGTAGAAGAGAGTGGGGTTTGCTCCAGTGGTGGGATTCACTTGCCTTTACTATCGGTTCGCAAATGTTCTCAAAGGTCACTGGGCAGAGCCTCCAGCAGTTCGCCCAAACCAGTAAGAACTGGCAGAATACTACTTCTGGTTTGCTCCCTATGTGCAAGCAAACAACCAAGCTCAGAGAGCACCCAGGATTCCTGAATCATCCTCCTAAGAAACTCAGTGCCTGATTTGTATTATTGGAAACTAGCTCCCTACTTTATTTAGTTCTGAAATACTTTGGTTCAGTTGAGAGGGAGGGGAAAGAGTTGTGCCCACTGAAATGTTTCATACATTTTTAATATGGAGTTTATACCTAAAGCCCTTCTTCCTTGTCTCTTTCAGTCTTTGAGTCTTTCATAGATTATGTTGCAGTGGAGCAGCTGGACGGAGACAATAAATATGATGCAGGGGAACATGGTTTGCAGGTACGCTTGGCCTTCAACTAGCTCTGTGGAATTGCAAAAGATGCCAGAGAAACGTAACTTGCCAAAGCAGCATGTTTGTGTATTGAAGTGTGTTTATTTATTAACAGTGCTACCCCAGAAAGACATCTCTGGGTGACATACAATAGCACAACCAACAACAAGCATAGGAGTAGAATCCCAAATCTAGAAGCCAAGATACCGTGTTTTTCAGAATATAAGACACACCTCCCCCCCCCCCCTAAAAAAGAGGGTGAAAATCTGGGTGTGTTTTATACACTGAATACAGCATTTTTGGCCTACTGAAATCCCACCCCCTTTGTAAAAACGGATGTGCAGAGGGTTTGGGAGGCTTGCAAAGTGCTCCTGGGGGCTGGGGAGGGCAAAAATGAGCAAAAAACGGACCACTTTTGCCCCTCTCCCCAGCCCCCAGGACCACTCTACAAGCCTCCTAAAGCTCTGCATGCCCCCCCATTTTTTCAAAAAACGAGGCATGCAGGGGTTTGGGAGGCCTGCAGAGTACAAAAATGATTTTTTTTAAAAAAATTACCTCTTCAAAATATTGGTGCGTCTTATACTCTTACAGTCCGAAAAATATGGTAACAACTGTGGCAAGAAAGATGGTAAAGGGGCGGGGGACGCAAAATTTACTCACGTGTCTCACTTAGCAACAGAAATGTTGAGCTGAATTGTGGTCATAACCTGTAGTACAGTGGTGGGATTCAAAAATGTTTACTACCAGTTCTATGGGCGTGGCTTGGTGGGCGTGGCAGGGGAAGGATACTGCAAAATCCCCAT